GGGCCAGCATCCACTCTGGAACGTCCAGCTTCTCCTCCCCCTCCACTGGCATCGTCAACAACTCTCTGCTCGGGAGGGAGGTTAGCTTCAACCGTCCGTGGAAGATGACACTCAGCCAAATGGCTACAGAGATCATCGAGCCCACCCGCCTTGCACACACATATCTTACAATCGAAGCTTCCTGGGACTTGGACCTGTCGAAACGTCGAAGTACCACGAGCAGGACACCCCCCCGCCAAGACAGCCCGTTGTAGATGTTTGTACGCATTGCCCTGCGACCCGAAGACTCGCCGGCATACAATACAGGTGTTTGTTGGTGTAATTGACGAACATAAATTATGTACTTGATGAACTCGACGCATATGGTTTAGCAGGTCTCGTTTAGTTTGAAAGCCCCGTTCGCATATGTGCCCCTCCTCCTCCTCCCAGTCGCACTTCCAAGGATGTTCAGGGACTTCAAGGGGGTCCTCAGCCTCGGGGTCCCTGTCGAGCGGAGCCCATCCATAGGTCGGGGAAAACGTGACCGACAACTCCCTGGATCTGATCTCCGTGAAGTCTAGTCGAGCAAGAGCCGACATCGTTTCCTCACTGATGAGTTTTCCAGGGAATCGCGCAATGTGCGCGCAGATCTGTCCCTCGTCCATCCGCTCGGCGGCATGTTGAAAGTCCTCCTGTAGCCGAACGAGCCATGGGGACGCCTGAGACAGCAAAACTTGATTACCAGAGAGCGCTGTACCTCCTGGATCAAGTGGCATCGTGCCGAAAAGCAAGCACAACTCCTGCGTGTGAGACTCTGGGCGAAGGGCCCAGCTGCGATACCAGCCCAACCTGCGAACGAGAAGTTCTGTGGCAGAACTTGCTAGACGCCAATGCTGCATGACCTGTTTGTTTGTGAGCGTCCTCATCTTCCCCTCCTCCTTGCTGATCACCGCCTTCCCCTGCATCGCCCTCCTCCCATATCTAGCTATAAGTGCGTCCAATTCTCGATAATGTTTGGCGGTCAACAGCATTGGCTCCAGGCCCGTCAGCGCAGCATTCTGAACAAAACTGAGAAATAGAGTCCGCTTCCAGCGGAACGGTACTGATAAACTCCATACCTGGCCGAGCGAATAGTAGGCCTCCGCTGTAGCCTGGATCCGACGACGAACTTCTATAAATGCCGTTTGCTGCATATTAATTCTAGGTCCCAAATACCGAACGTCCTCCTGAACTTCCCCCGAGATGCTCGAACGTCCCGTCCCCCGCACCCACTGCCGACATTTCACCGCCCCTGGTCCCTGGAAACATAGTTGCAGCTCCTGTTTCGAAACATTCTGGGCATACCCGTACTCCTGCAACTCCTCCGAAAGCGCCTCATCCGCCTCCCTGAGGACCGAAAGAAACTCTCCCACCGTGGAAAAATTGGCGGCAACATGGGCTCTGAAAAGGTCGTCGGCGTACACGCTCGTACCGACATCCGCCCTGAGCTCTCTCCAATGCGCGATCAACTCCTTCGCATGAGGGTCGATCTGACGGAGCCGCCAGAGCCACTTCATGATTGGCCTAGAGAACGTGCCTCTGAAAAGTGTAACTACGCACGGGTCCCCCATCGTGCCACCCTCGCCCGACTTCAAGTAGACCCCCCCTTCCAGAGACTCCAGTCGTACCACACTACTCTTAAAGCGCTGAATGCATAAGTCTATGTTCTCGGGGGCCGCGTGTAAGTTTACCGTGTTAGTCAACTCCTCCCAGGACCCGCACGCAAACGCATTCGCCATGTCCTTATACCCGCATGCGAAACTATGCCCCGCTCGACGGAGCCGCCAACTGAGAAGCTGCACTACTAGAATTGCATCCTCTCTTCTACGGCCACGGCAAAACCCATGCTCGATCAACATCGGGGGCACACACAGCAGATCCGAGTAGAAAGCCTTCCCGAACGTGGACAAAACGTGAACCGTTCCCCTTCCCGAGGGTCCTGGCTTCGCGTTTTTTTTCGTAATTGTGCCCCCGAACTACAGTGCCATCTCATCGGTGTCCTATTCGTCGCCCTGATCAAGCGGAGTCCCCCTTCCAAGATTTTCCCGAACAAGTTCATCTCTGGAAACTCCTGCTGGAAGCCCAAACCCTGCCCCTCTGTGCTAATATTTGCCATCGGCCGTAGGCAAAGGAGCCATAGTTCAGCTGGTGTCGTGCCCGTCGGCACTGCTCGACGCTTCGTGGCCGAGCGGAAATACTTGGTCACCCGCTGCTTGTCTTCCTCTGCCAATATACAATCTTCTGCCGAAATATAAGGTATGGGGCCAGGCGGAAAAGACTCCAACCATTCCTCATAGTCTGGAATCACAGATGCTGACATTCCACCTTCACAGCCTGCCTGCGACCAATGATTGATCAACACCTCTGAAGTAAGATGACCTCCACGGAGCAGCCTGCCGTCTCGACGCTTTGGACCATAACGACAATGAGCTGACGCCCGTGATAGCCGCATCGCTTCGGCCATGTGACGTCGTCCCCAAGCCTCCTCGATCTCCTCGAGTAGGCCCTGCTGTCGGACTCGAGCAAAATGCTGCCGCCGACGTCGTAGCTTCTGACTTAGCTGCGCCAGTCTCGATTCACATTCTGCCAGTGCTTCATCCTCCTCGTTCATACCCACTCTCGATCTACGGAGGCGAGCTCGCTCCCGAAGAAGTTCGGCCCGCTCTGATGCCTCCTGCCGATACAAAAGATCGCTGGACACGTGGTGACCGAAGTGCTGCTGTCCAACCTTCACGAGGGTGTCCTCCATGTGTTTGAAGATCTCGTCAGGTCGACCCATGGACAGCATAGCCCTCCACGTGTCCTCGCTCTCATTCAACGAAGCCTCTACCGCCGAAAGAAACTCACCCCTCCGATGTCCTTTTCGTAGGCACCTCATCATATCATCGAGATTCCAGCGCGTTCTCGTCTCCGTCGAGTTTGTTTCCCGTTCCAGCGGCTGCATACCCTGCAACTCGACATGCAAGGGGACGTGGTCCCGTGGTGGTGGCCCTCGATAGGCCTGTAATTCTGCACCCAATCCAAATAACGGGGAACATCTTGAAACCATATCAATCATTCCAGTCGGGAGGAAAAGATAATCTATACAACTGCTTACACCCTTCGCGCCGTACCATGTGTGCTCCAACTTGTTCTTCATCGTATTCATCGCGAACATGTGCTGTCGTTGATTGATGAGCCTGAATACTTCACCAGCTCCTCCTCTGCGTGGTTCTCTGCACCTTCCTTCGCCCACCGCCGTCGACTCGATACTCGTCCACTTGCCCGATATTCGTGAGATCCCCTGGCCGTCGTTGAGGTCTACGTACACCAGCGGTATGCATCGACACGGTAGGCTCTGAAGTATGTTTTCGTACCATGATCCAATCAGCTTCACCGTGGCCATATACTGGGGCTGTTCCGCTGCATACTTCGGTTGGGGCGGTAGGTACATTGCCACTGCCGCTAAGTCCAGAGGACCTCGACGAATACGAGCCGCGACCGCCCTCCCTCCCGCCTCGGGTGGACTAGCCCACACTTGTCTCACATGCTTCTCATTGAACTTGCTGCCTAATATGATCGCACATCCTGTGGACTTGTTAGAAAACTGCGATGTTGTCGCTTCAGCTTCCAATGTGAGCCGGTGCTGTACTCGAGTGGTCAGCACCTCTTCTACTCTGCGATGACTCCTCTGGGTGCCTGCCAACAATACCAGATCCATGTTCGCACAGCTCTGAACAATCTCCTGCATCCTGGTGCCCGTGGCGCACAGCGGGTTGAACCCGAGTACACGCAGCGCCCACTGGCCCACGGGCCGCACCATTGCGCGCACTCGCCCGCCTGGTGCCCAGCGGGAGGCCTCTTGGCCTGCCTCCCCCTGCCGCCCGTCGCTCCTGTGTGCCAGAGCGGCGGCTGGAGGAGGAGGAGGAGGAGGAGGAGGAGGAGGAGGAGGAGGGGGAGGAGGAGGCCGAGGAGAAGAGGAGGAAAGGCAGCAAGGGGGCGAGGGGAGGATGGCAAAAGGAGGAAACTGAACAAACGTGAATCCTTCTCCCTCCCAAGACAGCAAAGGGCAAGTCAGCTGCTGCTGCTGCTGCTGCTCCTCCTCTACAACCATCTGGAGCAATCAGCGATCACAGCTGATCCGCAGAGTCTCAAGCCCCAGGCCTCCTCGCATCGTGAACAAAAACACGACCGAAAGCTTTTGCCCCACTTCGATCCGAGGGGGGCCCTGACCGAGCCCTGGGACCGTTTTAAAACACGACTCGGGGTGGAAAGCTTGTGACCGGGAAGGAGCCACGTTGTGAAAAGGCATGGGCGCCCCTGAGGTCTGGGCTCTTCACTGGGGAAGTCTTGTTCGCCCCGAGCTGCTTTTTCACCGCCACGGCGCTCGGTGAGGGCCCCCCGACGCCGACAATGAAAGGGCAACCCAAGCCAACAGAAACCACCGCTGATGCCTCTGTCCCCAGACGAGAAAGGCAGGGGAGGCCCAGAAAAAGAGGGCCCCGAGGCCCCGAGGCCCCAGGACGGACTCGGAGCCGGGTGACACCCCTGAGCCAGCTGTTTCTCGGCGGCCAGCCCGGGGGGGAGTAAGAAGGAGAAGGCCTTCCGAGGAGGCTCGGGAGTCCCCCTGCCTTCTGAGAAGTCGTCTGAGGCTTTCCCGAACACGCTGAAAATTTGTCTCAGAAAGGGCGGCCTTCTGAGAAGACATTCTCATTCTCACTTCCGCCCCCCGCTCGCCGCCGAGTCTCGTCATCCGAACACAGCCTAGAGGCCTCCTAGATGGGGTCGGAGTAGATGGGGTCGGAGGATCGCATAGCATCGTCGATACATCGGCGATGCATCCGCCATGCACTTGCGTCGTCGGCGATGCATCCGTGACTTTAGCGTGGCAAAAATATGGGCTCCACATCGAGCAGCATCGTCGATGCATCCGCGATGCGGCGCAATCCTCCGACCTCATCCACTCCGACCCCATCCGGGAGGCCCAGACAGCCCCAACCCGCCTTCATGCCGAGTAGCGATCCGTTGGAGTCCACGGGAAAAGCGGCCTCGACCTCCCGGGGCAGGGGCGAACCGCTCGGCAGGGGGGTCGGAGGTCGAGGAGCGGAGCGGAGCAGAGCGGCGCCGATGTCGCCCACCTGTGTAGCGTTAAGTCGGGCGTGTCCCCCTACTGGGGGATTTTCGACGAAACAGGAAAATATTTAAAACAATACTCTAAAATTGTCAAACGATATTAAAAAATTGTCCCCATACAATTGTTTTACTATTTTTGAATATTCCCGACAGGCCTGACCTCAGTGTAGCGAACGGTGGGTGCGCCGGGGCGCCTCAGTTGGACCTCTGGTCGTACATCGCTTCCATACTCCTCCAGTGTCCGCCGTCGTGGGCAGGCATTCCCACGCCCCATCTGAATGACATGTTCGCATATTCGAGCACAGGATCGAGGAGGGAAGAAACAGTGATGGCTCTTCGGGTTTGGGAGCAGGCCCACCCCGCGACTGTTGGTACACAGCACTCTGAGGGAGACAACAACTTGGAAGGACTGGGGTGAGTCAAACCGAAAAAAAAACAGTACACTCGTAAAACCTTCGTGCGCCGCACACGAAGGAAGCACGAGCGAACACAAACCAAAGGACTGCCAACGATCGTGCAGCAACTTTCTAATCACAGGACGCCGGACACCCCAGGAACAAGATATCGAAATGGAGGTGGACGTGGTGACTTCCTCCTTCTCCTGCTCCTCCGGAGGTGGGGGAAACGACACCCTTGACTTCTCTTTATTCCGGGGTCGATGCGCGATATTCACGCAATACCCACTCGGTGCTGCATAAGGGGCGCAGGGGCGCATGGCATGTGGGCGGTGGTGCCCCTCAAGAATATGGCAACAGGCGCCCTTAGCTGGGCTGTCGAACTCGCAAAGTTGCGGCTCCAGGCAGCTTCCAATACGAACCAGGATGGCCCGAGTGTGCCACAGAAGGCCTGCAGCGTCCTTCCACGGGGACTTAAGAAAACTCAAGGATGGATGGATCGAAGGTGCCCCCCAACCCCCCCACCCCCGAGGTGCCAAAAGATCCCTCCCCGAGGAACGCAAAACGCTGAAGCAGAACACCATGTGTCCAGATTGCAAGTTGCGTGCCAGCTGTTGCTGCTCAAGCTGGGCCTAAGAAGCCCCCAGATGGTTCATGGGCCTGTATGGGGCCCAACAGGATCCCAGATCCCACGGCAGCACACCGAAAAAACGACTGCGCAACCTGGCAACACTTCCCTGGGACCACAAGGCTCCTAGAAAAGGCCGCAATACACCACAAGACTCAGCCAAACGCTGCTGAAGAGGAACTCTGCCCCCACGATGGTTGTCCCCCAGGAGGCTTCCAGAGGGCCCCAGAACAATGATGGTCTTGTTGCGGTTGACTGATCGGACTGGTCTCTCCGTCGGTTCGACTGGACCCCAGACTACAGACACTCATGTAAGCTGGTACGATTTGTGAATTCGGCCCAAAATCTCAAACTGCACGCAAAGACCAGACCGTCGGTCCAGCCTGGCCAGGGGCCGTCGGCCCGGCCAGCCTGGGAACAAGGGTTTGGCGGCAGGTCGCGGGCGTTGGGCGCAGCGTCGGGTGCTCGAAATCGAGTGCAGGGGCCCCCACAGACATTGACGAGGGTCCATGTTCGGGGGGAAGGATAGGTTCGCCTCGAGCGTCGGATCCTGGTGCGTATCGGCTACGGATCCAATGCGGGTCCGAAGCTTCTTGGACGGATCCTATGCGAATCCGATGGGTTTGGGACGGATCTGAGTGGTGGGACAATCGCGCGTTTGGCACGGATTCTGTTGGACCACCGCACCCGTGTACAATATGAATTACGAGCAGGGAAATACTCTGAGGACGACTTGCGCAGGGCACGGGGGCTGGCGCGTCAGGGGGGGGGACGGCGCCTTCTAGAACTTTTCTCAGGCGCATATTATGAAACTTTCCTCAGGCAGCTCTTTCTAAAACTTGACTGCGCTGTTCCCGCTAGAACTTCCCTCGGGCGGCTCCTTCTACAACTTTACCGTTCGGATTCTCTGCGGGTCCGAAACTTATTGGACGGAACCTATGCGACTGGATGGATCTGAGTGGTGGGACGGTCGGGCGTTTGACACGGATCCTGCCGGACCACTGCACCCTCGTGCAAGACGAATGGCGGGCAGCGAAACACTTCGAAGACTTGCGGAGGGCAAAGGGGCTGGCGCGTCAAAGGGGGAACGGCGCCTTCTGAAACTTTACTCTAGTCCAAAGTATGAAAATGTCCTCAGGCGGCTCTCAAAAACTTGACTGAGCTGTTCCTGCTAGAACTTCCCTCAGGCGGCTCCTTCTACAACTGTACTGCGCTGCTCCTCTGGGTTCCGACGTTTTGCCCGTCGCGCGTTCTGATCACTGGACCTCGCCGTCGCCGACGTCGTCGTCGTCGTCGACGCCGCCGCCGGTCCGCTGTCGGAAACACCATCGAGCCAACAAGTCAACGGCCCTGGCCCAGTTGCGCGTGGCAGCCCCTCCCCCAATTCGCCCGTGGGAGCTCCTGACCGTGCCTGGGCGCGATCGCCCCCGTCCACCTCCTTGAGGTTCAGACACCGGTCGTGCGTTGGTTCAGTGGCACGTCAAGTCCAGGCAAATCGTACCAACTTTACCTGACTGCCTGTAATGATCACCTTCTGGACTGGTAACTGGGGATACGAGCGGTGTCAGAAGTCAAAGTGTACTTCAAGACCAATATTGCACAGGAGAACCACGAAGGTTCAAAATCCACCTGTCTTATATGGCGCTGCGCACGCTCAGAAGGAGCTGAAGGGTGCGCAATAATCAATAAGGCGCCGAAGATACGTAATGACACATCAACAAGATGACGCGAGAGCAAACTCCGTGCTAACGAAACGCGCGACTGGTCAATCATTCGAATGTTTGGCGCTGGCTGGGCGACTCTAATGATTCTAAGCATGGCATGTGCGCACGTTGAGACATGGTGCGTCGTAGTAGACACGACCGAAATAAGGCTACACCAAATCCACAACCCAAGAACGGATGCCAAATACTGTAACGACGATCCTGGTCGGAGAAGAAGTACGTTTCCAGAGGAAGGCAAGGAGAGGGAGAAGTGAGGAGACACGAAGATGTGGAGTACGAGCGCGCGGGGGATGATGGTCACGACGGAAAAAGGGATGCCTAAGTGGAGAAATCAGGAGGGAAAGGGGCGACAGGAGAGAATGGAGGGACAGTACAAGGATGACACAAAAAAGGAAGGAACAAGGAGGAATGATGAGGAACAATGAACTCTGGGGGCTGCGAACCTGGAAAGGCTTGCTCGTGTCGATGCACTTGCCGCCTGGGCCTCCCCTTCCCAGCCCTCCATCAGACGATATTTGCGCCCGCAAGCTCCAGCGGGGGCCTGCGCCAAGGACCTAGAGCCCCGCAACTGATGTGCTCGAGGATGTGCCGAAGCACACCCACACTGCCCTTGGACGGCCATGCGGGCGGAAACAGTTGCAGCGGCGCCGAGCCGGGAGATGGCAGCGTGGACGGGGGGCAGAGAGGGAGCAGCGAAGAGTCAGGGACAAGGGGGCACAAGGGAGGGGAATCGACTGAGGAAGGGCAAGGAAAGGAAGGGGGGATTAAAGGACAACGACGAGGAGCATGGATGCGACAAACCTCAGGGACTCGGCATGAAATCCGCCTGCGAGCCAGACATCCAGCGTCACGATTTGCTCCCCGACGTAGGCCTTCAAGAGCTCTCGCTCCCATCCTGGGCTCATAAGTTGTTGTTTCGCCTCGAGCCGTTTATTGATGGCCTTTGAATGGCAGACTCCAGGGCGTGCTGAGAACCGTTGTCAAAACACACAGCTGGAAACAGCAACTACGGGGACATGAAACGCGTCCAGTCCAGTCCGATCCTCCTGCGGCAGCGAACCGCCCACCCACCCTTGCCGAAGTTCAGGGCCGCGGCGGAGAGATATGATAGGGCAGCAGCAAGACGGTGGCGAGCAACTCCTCCGCTGCACCAGCACAGTGTGGTCGAAACGACAGGACGCTCGAAGTGCCCAGGTCAAGACGCCAGCACGCTCCCACCCACTCTGTGCTGCAGGGGCGCTGAGGCGAAGATGTGGAGCAGCAAGAGAGGACTTTGACGAGCAGCCCCTCTGCCGAAACAACGAAAGATACAGGGCAATTGCTGGCAGGACGATCGCGAACATGGCCTCCGCTGCAGCACTGACGCTGTCGAAATGCCGAAACGCAACGACTTGGGGCGCAAAGAAGGCCTGGTGAATTTCAGCGCTCCTTGTTCACGTCATGCATCCTTTGCTGTTTTCGGTCGTCGTCCTTCATCCTCGTCATTGATATCCTCTTGTTCCTTCGCCTCCTCCTCCTCCTCCTCCTCATCCTTCTCTCCCTTCGTCTCCTCACCCTCCTCCTGTTCTCTTGTCTCCTTATTCGCCTCTTCCGTCGCTTCATCCTTCTGAAAGAACGTCAGGATTTTAGGAACTCCCTCAGACAAACAAGGAAAAGCGCTGCTGGCGACTTAAGCAACTCAAGCGACAACACAACGTCCGATGGGCGACCCCGCTATGAACCGGAATCCACAAAGGCGGCGTATCGTTGGGATCCTCATCAGGACAACACGACAAACCACATACTCGAAAACGCTGATGACCAAACATTTGAGAACACCCTCAGGAGAACCCAAACAATCTCCCAGCAACTCCGAACGTCCGAAGGGCGACCCCACATTCTCAGTGGAAGCTTGTTTGTATTGGTTCTCCTTAGGGTATTCCCAAAGCTTCTGCAACCATCGCCTTGGATTCCTGTATTTTCCGAGGGGGTCCCGAGAATCTACCGTCCGAACGGATTCCACCTCACAACGAAGTCGTTCATCGGAAGTTGGGGAAGGAATCCCCACTAAGGGATCCTCACGGTAGGCATCCCTACAACAACATCCATTCTGAAAGGATCAATATTAAGAAACCCGTACTCAAGGGGTTCCCTACTAATCAATGCATGTAAAAGATAACTGAAGAATTGATCGCTACTCCGAAACGTGAATTAAGAATCCGTACGCATGTAATACTACCTGATGAGGCGCGTAGAACTCTCTTCAAATATTCCGCAATAAAAAACAGACGAACAGATATCTGAACGAAGCGGGCATTACGGAGAAATCCATACGACAGGTGTCCCGACCAAACAGCCCTCATGCAAACCAACCTTCGAAGAAACCTTACAAACGTAATGGCATAATGGACCGTACGAGTAACCCTTCCTACAGAACGCTTACTTTGAAAACCCTGCCCCAAAACACCCTTACTACATATTCTGTCAATAATGATGATTATGGCTACATCCTTAATGAAATACCTATTGGATTAAAGCGATCCGTGGTGAGGACTCCCCATCCAAAAGCCTTGCATCCAGAATCCTCGCGAAAGAGCTTCTTGCGAAAGAACGTTATTGTATGAAAGGGTCCGTTGTTGCTCCGTTGTTGCAGATATTCAACGCCCTCATGGAATGCATCCTTACTGCGGAATTATACTCGCACGAATCCTTGGTTCAAAACCCGTAAGAATGGGGGCCATTCCACAAGAATATTACATAGAGACGTTACGGAACGAATATTTACCAAAGAGCCCGCACTGGATAATCATTACTACGTCGTTCATTCCTCCAAACATCCGTCCTGATGACATAACCCAAATCCAAAAACTCTTACGACATAGTTCAGGCAAAGCATACGGAACGTCTTACCAACAAAACCATGGGATTTAAGGCAACCTTGACCGTGATTAAATAATTAACCGAGCAACATTGCAACATCAATATTGCTAAATAGCCGTTGCCAAAGAAACGGTTACGAACATTATCCCTGCTACTGCATTCTTGACTATAAAACGTTTGGCAACATTTGTATATGTCCCAAACAGTGCTTCCACTTAAAGACTACTGCTTCTTACTACGAAGCTGGGTGGGTGTGTCGGTTTGAATTGGCGGCTATGTAGCCGCCATCGTCGCCCCGTCGCCGCCTCGTCGCCGCCCGTCGTCTGGGTTTGCGGGTCGGTGTGGCGGCTATGTCGTCGCCGTCGTCGCCCCGTCGCCACGAGATGGGCTGGACCACGTAAAATTGCTGTTCCGAAGCGGAACACATTCCACCACCACCCTGGAAACGGCCTTGACGCCACCCCTGGGGATGCACAGCTTGCGGGCGATTTTGCCCCATGTTTTCCTTTCAGTGTGAGTTCGTGCGACCCCAGTCCACCCAATATCGACCTGCCCCCAATCCTCCGCAACAAGACACTATGCTCGTGCACCCGTTTATCCACATCCATCAAGTGTCGAAAACTCATGTTGCAAAACAAGCTGGAGGAAGGGCACACGCGCACGTCGTCCCGCGCGCACAGGGAATCTTCAAAACAACTGTGGGTCTCGAAAGGCATCGAACATCGGGTAGCCCGAAACATAAAACATACATGGGTTTGGGAGATGACCGTCCAAAACAACTAGCTCTGCGTGCGCGTCTTTCGAATTCTGAAAGAAATCGTGGTTTCCCAACACTTTCATCAAATCCGACCGAACGTGCACTTCGCGCGCGCATCAAAATCATTCGAACGCCTGGGCGCGCGTGCCGGAAAAAGGGGGCACGATCCTTGTCAAATAACACCATGCGGCCCACTCGCGCCCGTCGGCCGCGCACGCATGTCGAAATCTCTTCCGTAACCTTCATCGCCGACGCGTGGACACGATTATCGTCATCGGCGTGATCAGCAGCCGTGCCCTAATTGGCCCCGTTGTCGTCGTCGTAGTCGTCATCAACATCGCTACAACCATGGTCGTGCCTGCCGTTGTCGACGTCGCCATGCTGCGCCCACCCAGGTTACGGATTCGAAATGCCCGCGCGTCCACGAATCTTGCGGGACGCGCTGGGGAGACCCCAAAAGGTCAGCGCCGCCGCGGCCGCGTCGTTCGCGCCGGACTTGCTGGCCGCTGTGAGCGCGAGCCTGCGATCGCTACCGGGGCCGCACCGATCCGCCAGCCAGCGCCAAGCAGTCATGGCAATCGCCGCCGCATGGGTTTTGCACACCAAATTGCGGATGGGTGGGTGGGATGCATGCGCAAGCAATGGAGGTGACAACCCAGTGTCAACGGAAACTAAATTCACAACATGGATTGCACCACGTAGATTGTACAACACAAGTAGCACCACGTCCCACAAATATTGCACAACATAACTTGCACCACGTAAGTATCGGCGCGCGGATTGCGGCACGTAGATATCATCCCAAATAAGATCAATCACACGTACATTGCGCAACACATGTTGCACCGCATAAGTTGCACAACCTACACTGCACCACGTATATTCCACAACATGCACCACATAGGTATATGTGCACACATACATTTACATACACTTTTCTTATATGTATACTGCACCGCAACAGAGCAACCACGACCGATATCGTTCCACATAGATGGCGTGCCCCGTGTACACATATATATATATACATACATGTATAAACTTACATTCCGATATATTATATATGTTATATATGTGTCTATGTGTGTATATATATATATATCCCCGCTACACAAACTCGATTGCGCAACAAATGCCGGTCAACCTAAACAACTGCGCAACGTAATTTGTTCCAAGTAGATTCCGTAACATGGAGTGCACGACGTAAACTGCGCTGCGTATGTGGCTCCACAAAGATTGCACAACGTATGTTCCCCCGTCCAATTCCCCCCGTCTAAATCTAACATTGGGATCTACCACAACCTCTGCAGCCGAGATGTTGCCCAATTTGGGCAATGGGAATTGTACAATACATGGGATCCTGTCCCGTCGCTCGTCCTACTTATGAATTCGCTCCACCCTAACGGGGCCAAGTCCGACTCGCCGCCCACCCCACCATGTTATGCAGAAACACGATGCGCACACACATTCGTTCATCAAAACTCATACATGTGCCAATGTCCTTGGCAAAAAAAAAGAAAAAAAAACACGGCGGTGTGCACACGCGCGCGCCAGCGCGCAAGCATGCTAGAATCCTCCGGGATCCATGGATGCTGCAGAGGGTTTCAACGCCGAGCGCCCCTGGACCCAAAAAACATGATGTTGCAACGTGATTCTGTCAAGACAAGCCTGCGTGCGCTCTTGCGGAATCCCAAAAAAAACATCCAGGTGTTCCAAAATGTCCGTCACATGCAACAAACCGGGCGCCTCGCGCCCACATGCCGAAATCATCCGAGCGCACTTACGCGCGTGTTGGGGATGGGGGCGCGACCCGTGTCAAATAATTCCATTCGGGCCACTCGCGCCCGTCAGGACCGCGCGCGCATGTCGAACTTCCCACAGAACTGCCATCACCGACGCGTGGACACCCTCATCTTCACCGGCGTGATCAGCACCGTCGCCGTCATTGGCCTTACCGTCATCATCGTGTTGCCGTTGTCGACGTCGCCATGATATCGCGCCTACCAGAGCCACCGACTCGCATTGAAACGCCCGCGCGCCAGCGCGGCCTGCGAGACGACCTGGGAAGTCCCCGAACGTCAGCGCCACCGCGGCCGCGTCAGCCGCGCCAGACTAGCTGGCCGCTCTGAGCCCGAGCCTGCGCGCGCTGGCGCAGCCGCAGCGACGCGCCAGCCAGCGCCAAGTAGTCATCGCAGTCGCCGCCGCATGGCTTTTGCACACCAAGTTGTGGGAGGGTGGGTGGGTTGATTGCGCGATCCGTGGAGCTGACAACTTTACCTTCGGCAAGGTGAATTGCACCACAAAGACTGCATAACATAGACTGCACAACGTAGATGGCACCCCACATAATCCTCAACAAACAATGCACCACATATATTGAACTACGTGTATTGCCCCACATTTAGTGCACAACGCTGGCTAACATGGACTGAAGGTAGTGCTGGCATGGCATATTGAAGTTCTCCGGAACCATGAAACATCCTTCATAATCCCGAGGACTCGTAGGGGAACGTGATATGTGAATGCATATATATATACACACATATATATACACATGCATGCATTCATACATGCGTACATACATTAACGAATACATACATCTGCCTGTGTATATGAACACATGGATATGTATATAATAATAATAATAAAAACAATAATAATAATAATAATAATAATAATAATAATAATAATAATAGAGGAAGGGCGAAAGAAGGAGAGAGAGAGAGAGAGCTAGAGAGCGAGAGAGGGTGAGAGCGCAGGGAAGGGTGAGAGAGAGAGAGACAGAGAGATAAACATTTATATATATATATATATATATCAAATAGAGACCCTTCGACTCCACCAGGCCTGCTTTCCGCAGCGAACCCACGCAACAATCCCGTCGCACCCTCCTGGACATCCGACGTGATGTTTCACAACTTGACCCACAAAGGACCAACGTTTCATCCCTAGTGTGTTTCGGCGTTCCCAAGGAAGAACTACGGGACACTGATAAATAGTCTTAAACTAGAAGCCCCTATGCTTTCACGACGCGAACAAGTCAGGGGCGCCAGGGCGACCATGCAGGGCATCGGCAGAACGGTGGTGAGCAAATCCTCCTCTGCGGCAGCGGACGAGGGCAAAACGCCAACATACACACATACACACACTCGCCTGAACCTGGGAGCGCCGAGGCAAACACGTTTACCGTTTGTCAGCAGCAGCACTGTTGCGAGCAACCCTATCTGCTGCAGCAGCCCAAAATTCAAGGCGTCGGCAGGACTGCATACAACGAGCAAATGTAGGGTGTCGGTGGTGTGTTTCGTTGTTCTTGCTTTGTTGTTCTGTCTTCCGTTTCCGGGAGAGGGGCACGATTTGTCCGCCCTCCTCTGTGCGAAAGCTCTTTCCGCTGCATCAGCGAAGAGCGGTGCGGGCGGCTTCCCCGACGAAACGAATCTATGCAAGGCATCGGGTCGCGCCGCGCCGGCGCCCCCCAGGGGCCGCCGCGCGGTCCCAAGGGTGGAGAGAGGGGGGGAGGTGATGGTGATGATGATGATACTGATAAAGATCATGATAGTAATGATGATAATGATGACGACGACGGTGCTGCTGATGATGACGATGATGACGATGATGATGGTAATGATGACGATATTGATGCTGGTGATGATGGTGTTGATGATGGTGGTGATGATGGTGATAATGATGCTGATGATGCTGACTGGTGAATGAAGAATGGTACTGGTGTTGGTGTTGGTGGTGATGATGATGTTGGTGATGTTGATGGTGACGATGACGATGATGCTGATGCTGATGCTGATGCTGATGATGATGATGATGATGATAATGATGATGATGATGATGATGATGACGATTGTTATGGCGGTGATGATGGAGAGGCGGAGGAGACGGACCGGGGTGAGGAGGAGAAACAGTGATGGCTGCGTCCGGCCGAGGACTCTGATGCCTACCGCAAGGGCTCCCAACTTCGCGCTTCGCGCTGCGCGAAGCGCGAAGTGCGACTAGCTTCGCGCTCTCGGGCCGCCTCCCAGGAGAGAAGAGGAGGAGGAGGAGGAGGAGGAGGAGGAGGAGGAATCCGAGCCGAACCGCGAAGCGCGAATAACTTCGCGCCCTCGAGGGCGCCCTTGTGCCTACCGCCCGAGCCCCAGGAGGCACGGAGGACGGCGGGGAGCAGCTCCGCCCCCAGGGGCCGACGCCGAACCCTGGCGCGGCCACTCGGCCGCCCGCCTCTGCAGCCCGCCTGGCCCGCGGCCTCCGCGGCGCCCGGCGCCGCCCACAGCGGCGCGCGGCTGCCGAGCGGTGGCGCAGCCGAGCGCCCCGCTCAGCTCGGCGCCCCAACGCTCGATCCTCCTCCCACTCACCTCCTCCCCCTCCTCCTCCTCCTCCTCCTCCTCCTCCTCCTCCTCCTCCTCCTCCTCATCTTCATCCTCGTCCTCGTCGTCGTCGTCGTCGTAGTCCTCCTCCTCCTCCTCCTCCACCTCCGCCTCCTCCTCCCCGCTCCTTTCCTCCTGGCCTCCTGAATAATCCGACGCCGCGTTTTTTTCGCGACGTGGTTGCCTGGAGATCTGGGCCGCCTCGACTCAGGACCAGTCCTCCATCCGGGGTCGATCTTTGGCGGTCCTCGGGCCCGGTGAGGGCCACCAGAAAGCGAAAATGGAAAAATTGCCGAGAGCGTTCCGCCGTGGATAGCTTCATGACGCGAGGAGGTCTGGATCCACCCGCTTCTCCTCCTCGCCTACACAGGCGCGGTGAGCCCGCCCCAAAGGTAGAGCCCTCCTAGATGGGGTCCGGGTAGATAAGGTCGGAGGATCGCGCCGCATCGGCGATGCATCGGCGGTGCATCTGCGTCGTCGGCGCGAAGGAAATCGGGCTCCCCATCGAGCCGCATCGCCGATGCATCGGCGATGCGGCGCGATCATCTACTCGGACCCCGTCTGGGAGGCCCTGCCCTCGATCTCCGATCCTACACCAAGACCTGCACCCTCGACCCTCCTCCTCCCTTCTCCTGCTGGCGGGATGACCTTCGGGCCGACCCCACCCCCGCGGCCATCGGGTGTGTACAGGCGGGGGGGCGTCCACGAGAGGGGTTCCCAAGTCAGGGCCCGAGGCAAGGGCTCGGCTGAGGTGGGGACCCAAGAGGAGTGCTGTACTCCGCCGCCTCCCGCATCCTGGCTTTAAGCCGGGCGTGTACCCCTACATGGGGGACTTTCGACGAAAAAAAAAACGTGCTCGCTTTTTTATACAATATTTTTGGACATTCCCCATGGAGAGGGACAGGCCCGACTTCCTCCTGGCTGCGTAAGGGCTGTCCCCCCCCCCCGCGGCCGTACTTGTCGGCGGCCCAGTCCCGAGGCCCGCTCCAGCTGTCCCCGCCGCCTCCGGCGCGCTGCGGGGGGCCAGGGGGCGGGGCTGCGAGCGCCGAGTCCCTGCCGACGCCGCCGTCGTCGCCGCAGGGCCGCCGTGGGTCGCCGCCCGAGCTTGAGCCGAGCTTCGGCTCTGGTCGGCTGCACTGGGCCCGTGTGGGGCCATCCCGAGCTGCCTCGGGGCCACATTGTGCCGTCATGGGGCCCTCCTCCTCCTCCTCCTCCTCCTCGATCTGGGGGCCGTCTTGGGCTCGTGGGCAGGAGGCGCACCTCCCAGGGGCTTCCTGGAAGGAAGCCGTGCTTTGCAAGGCGCCGGCCCTACATCTACAGATAAGGCCCGCGCTGTCCAAGAAGCAGCCTCCTTCTGAGAAGGCTTCCCCCTCCCCCATATCGGGAGCGGCCAAGAGGGGGGGGCCCAAGATGGCGGGGTGCAAATGATGACCGGCGGCATGTGCGCGGCTTAGCGGGGGGGGCAGGGACGCAATGAAAAAAGAATCTCATGACCCACGCCATGATATCCCCCCCCCCCTAAGTCAGCCCCTCTCTTCGCCGCCCCCGATGGCTCGCCTCTCCGGCGGCCATTTCGGCACGATGCGGGCACCCCCGGGAGGCCCTCGGCGAGGCGCAGCCGCTGGACTGCATCC